CTAACTATATATATATATATATATATATATATATATAATGTGTAATTGATTGTCATCATAAGGTTATAGAAAGATTATTTTTACGAAAGATAATTAACATGTATAAAGTTTTCTAAACCTTTTATACGCATGTATTATATTGAATAAAATTTGGTATATTATTTATACTATTTATATTTTTTCATTTAATTTCATAGATTCAATAATTCAGATTGAATTAATTTTATTAAACTTAGTAGACATGCGATATCATATATACATAAATTGATAAATAGATTTTGTAATGATGTAATGAAACAAGAAATAAGATTAAGAACGCGTAAAGAACGTGTAATATACTTCTTGTTCGATTTTTTATAGATATTTTAAGATTAATGTTGAATCGTCATAAACACTTTTATTAACTTAATATTAGAATGTTATAACTATTTTTGAAACATAATCTCAGATACCACGTATCCGCAACCTTCAGAGCGCGGACCCGCAGGAGAAGGAAAACTTTGAAAAGGTAAAATTATTATTTTATGAACCATTCAGCTTGAATTAGATATGCAATTCTAGTCTTATTTTTTTTATTTACACTTGCGCACGTGCGCGCCTATAAAAGAACGTGAAGAAAACAATAATATTATCTTTAAAATTAAAATTGGTAAGTTTTTTACGGAGTGCAGGCATATTTATAAATATGTTGATAACAAAGTAAAAACATAGAAATATTTGTATTTTTAATTTATAGCATAAGATATAAGCATTTCTTCTTAAGTGTATAAAGTAAAAGATCTAATTGTTGTGTACATTTGTTACGTTGTGTTAATTTATTGGTGACCATTTTTGGGAAATGCGTTTTGGATTGGGACATCCTGTTCACCTAATCATTGTTGCTATGATCTGGACTAAGGTTTTGCAGAACGCTGTTGTCAAAGTGGTTATACCAACGGAAAGGTATTTGTTGATTTTAATATTACGACAGATTTGTAAGTATGTAACTCTGAGAAGAATGTTTATGCTTCTGTTGAATGAAATATTTTGTGTCAATGGGGATTGACACAAAATACAAATGCATACTTAATCGAGTCGTGCGTTATAGGAATTTAGTCATGTTAATACATAGAATGGTGGAATTTGTAATTCGAGAAGGACCAATGTTTGAAGCAATGATTATGAACAGAGAATTAAATAATCCAATGTTCAGGTACATACATCCATATATATTATACACACACACACACACACACACACATACACACACACACACACATATATATATATATATATATATAC